TATATATATATATGTAGGGATTTTTGTTTTAGGTTAGAGGTGCGAGGTGTACATACACCCAGTTTAATCCTACTAATAAGATATATTTACAATAGGTATTAGAAAAAGTACAATAGTAGCTTCACAATCTTTCAAAGATAACAATTGAGATAAACAACTGCACTCTTGCAACTTAATAACGACTGATGACGATTTCTAATACAACTGTGACTTACTACGGACTACCACTGATCTACTAACAGCCCTTCGATTCAATCCCCGTCCCTTTATATCCATCCGCATCGTTCTCGAATTTTCCCAACGTCCGATTCGATGCAATATACATAGCATTGATATCACTCAAGAGAACCTTCTAAGTTCACACAGAGACTTACACACACAACTTACACAACTTACAAAGAACAGACCACACACACCGTCTTTCTTTATTTCGACTATCAGTTCCTTTGTCCTTTATTCTTTCGTCGCCTACCCGCTTATCTATGTTTATTCTTCTACACTTAAAACTCTCCTACATATATACACGTATACGTAAATTTAAAACACAAAAATCTATTTTACAAATAATGCAAGTATCTACTTCGTTGATGTAAAATGAATATACAAACAGAATAAAATAATTACGAAATATATATATATATTTGTTGTCCATTTGTTGTTGATGGCCTTTTGCCATCGGTCAAGCAGTGTCATAATGCCACGTACATTCAATTTCTGATCTTTGCTCAAGATCAAAAAACAATTAGGTGTAAAACAAAATCCACAATGACTTAGTTGCCAACCTAATATATTTTCTAAGCTTTCAAGGAAATAAGAAAGTTTCTATTATAATAAAACGTAACATTATCGTGATGTATCAATTATGTCTATCTAGAGTCTATCAAATATCGAATATGAAACACGTATATACTTAGATAAGAAGAAAGCGATATTTACCGACTGCCGACAGTCGACAATTAATCCGCACGTTCTCTATATCGTATAATTCGAAACTTAGCCTGCAGATGAATCGCAAAATTGGTACGTTTCCCAAGAGTAAAATAAAATAATCGACCTCGTTTCTATCCCGTTACGAATGTATATCGAAGGAGAAGTTCGACACTTCGGCCATGGTCGATCATTATCGTAAAGCACGATGGTTATCAAGAAGCATGCATCTTACGTGTGATCGTGCGAGAGACTATTACACGAAAGATACTTTCGCTCATTTAATGACGTTTATGTTCATTTACCAAACATGCACGAAGAAGACATGTAAATAAGTATATACATATATCAAAGTAGTTTATCGAATAAAAGAATTATTAGTCCATGAAAAATCTTTTTATTCGACAAACGAGAATAGTCACATATATAATAATATATAGTAGGAACGTTTCTATACTCGATCTAACGTAAAAATCTACTAATCTATAAACGAGAGATAACAGATATTTGCTAATAATTCGTCTACGAGTTTGATCGTTCAAATAGATATCTCGAGATAAGCTTACGAATGAAAAAAAAAAAACGATTTCAATAAGAACTACAATAAAATATTATGAAAAGATAAGATGCGTTGTCTGTATTGATTGGAGATTGACTGGTTCGATTGATACAATTGTTTAACTTGTTCTGTTATCATTATTCTCCAAAAATTTAGAGTAGATTTGAAATCGATAAGAAAATTAAAGTAAATTCGTCGTTCGAGGTATTTAACAATACATTTTGATCGAAAAATCATGCAATTGAACTATATTAATGCATACATATGCATATAAAGAATATATTTTGAGGATCAAATTATTGCTATTTCATCTGGTCTATTTTCATACTTGATTTAACAGCCGATTCGATACTATAAATATTTAAAGATATGTAGAAACGCAATGACTTCGATATCGTTAATATAAGCTTATAGTTCTATTGGATACAAGTTTTCTTTCACAATAGAAATCGTCCGATTAATTATTCAAATAGGTGGAACAATAGGGCATGGAATTAACCAGTTCACAGGCCCTACTTTTCTATATCAAGGACAATACTCGATTTATTTTGTTAATTACGATAATTTCGTAATAAATAGATCAATTCCTCTTTCAATCGTCGTAATAATGTTATAAATTAACAAATAACAAAATACGTATTACTTCAAACGTTGAACAACGATCGAAGTAAAATAATATTCTACCGTAATAAATTATTTTCGATAATTTAAAAAAAGAAAAAAAATAGATAGAATAACAAATAATTGAATAAAAAATAAGATTTTACATTTTAATATAATGAACAATACGAAATGTACATTTATTTATGAAGTTTTCATAAAAATCGAATAGCAGAGACGTTACTATCACCGAGATGTAAATAATAGAAATTCAAGTGTCTCAGAGTATGTTATCAATCCAGTAAACACATATATTTCTTACATATCGATATTATAAATTCTCGCACGTGGCTTCTTCACTTAACGTAAAAAAAAAAAATAATAATAAAATAAAAAATAGACGCAGTTAAAAAAAAATCAATACATAATCTTGGCTATCGAAGTGAAGTTCAAATCGAATGGGGAAAAAAAAAAAAAAAGAAAACAGAAAAAAAAGAATATTTACTTTAAGTTATTTTTTCAAAACGTTGGAAAAAAGATAATTAAGAGATTACAAGAATTTTTCTTGTCATTATCAATACTAATACATTTAGCTCTAATTTTGTTTAACCATATTTACGTCGATCTGTGAACTATGTACCTACTCGAAAGAAATATCGATAAAAACGATGTTACACGAAGTAGACCGAAATGTCACTCACCTTATAATCTTCCTTCTATTATTAGGATGAAGTCTTCGCGCCATTTCCGGATCAATTTCGACCAATCTACGATATAGTACCTCGTTCGTCTGCTTGTTCATCTCCTCCACTCTCGTTTCCTCTTTCGTCTCCTCCTTCGTCTCCTCCTTCGTCTCCTCACTCGTACTCATCCTTCTGTCGATCTTTTCAGACGAAGATTCGTCTTTCGATTTGCTTATTTCCAACATTGGCTGAGTGTTGCCATCACTATCTTCATTATTGCTGTCATTGTCACTTAAAATCTTACTCTCTTGATCCTTTTTCTCCTTCAAATTCGGTACAAGTATTTTCCAAAGTAATGACTCTATGTAATAATTCGTACCACCGACGATAATCGGGATCTTCTTATTTGATATTAAATTCTCCACCTATATCGATCGAAAGAAAAATTGATTCGTAATCTATTTAATAAGTGTAATAATCGAAACACTCAATTATAAAAAAAAAAAAAAAAAACAAAGCTACGTCTCTATTAACACGTTGAGTGCTATGTGTCAGTCTCCAGAGACTGACAGTAAACTTTCCGTTCAGGCATACTGATTGTCTCTTGGTGATCATATTTTTGAAAATATATCAAAATTGGGACACCGCACTCAATGTATTAATCGTAAAAAATATGGAAAATAAAGTTAATTAAAATGTTGATTAATACAAGGAATGAATTAATGATTAGTTTTACTACATCTGTCAAGTTATTAACCCTCTATGAGCCAATGTTACTTGCAGGTAACATATTTCTTTTTACGAAATTTTACCAAATAAATTTTATAATGTCTCCGAAACAACTACAACCATATTCATGATAGTTGCGCTAGTATAATCAACATAAAATAACAAAATAAATGTTGTATAAACTGTCAGCAGTAAAAGCAAGCGAAACCTTTTTTTTTTTTTTTTCAATTTATTTTATTTTTATTTCTGTCGATGTTTACCGAATAAAAAATTATCTATATAGTAGTTCTGTGTTTGAATATCTATAAAAACTTATTTTTTTTTTAATTCAAATATCATTTTATTACTTCTTTTTTTTTTTATAATAAAGTTCTGTTACTTTGAAGTAACAGTGGCCCATAAAGGAATCTTCTGTATATTTAGGATAAAACTTGTATCGAATGTTTGAACAATCATCGAATAGTGGAAGAAGTTGAGGAATTTGTTGCAGCAAACAATTCCTGACCATTTTTATCAGTTTTGTTTGCGGAAAAGATTCAAAGATACCAGAAGGATAGATTTTTACGAAAAACATAGATATTTACTTAGTTTACACCGGTGGTGTAAAGCTTGGCTGTTATATAATTGAGATTGTTCATTGCATTCTATAAGTCTCAAGAATCAATATAAATTATTGATATTTAAAATGAAAATTGCATCCTGTTTATGTTAGAAGTACCAAAGAATACGTAAAAAAAGAAAAGAAGGTCCTGTTTTCACCAATGTAGATAAACAATTACAAAAAAATATAAAAAAAGACCAAGTACTGTACTTACATTAAAAAATGAAGTAGCACATTGGCCAATTTTTTTCGGACAAAAGAGGACGCTGCACAAAAACCGGGTTGTTAAAAAATTCCGAAAATAAAATGTTCAAAGTAGAAAATACATTTGTATTTAACTTCAAGTGAAAACTGCTTCGTAGAATTTCATGCTTAAGTTTTTCTAAGCAGAAGTGAAGACCTTATGGGCCGTTGTTACCTGAAAGTAACATATTTAATTTATTGTAATGAAATTGTTTAAACCGGAAATTTTTTTTTTTCATTTGCATATATAAGTTAATAATCGATGATTTTGAGTTCCAACAATGTTCTTTTATTTATAATAAAAATTCGGCTCATAAAGGGTTAAAATTGTTAATTCATTTGTAAAATAGCATACATAATTAATCTTTAATATTTTCAGTCTACTTTTAACGATATAATTTATTTCAATACGATAATTTAAATAGCTTATTTAAATCAAAAATAAATAATACTTATAACAAATAAAAAAATAATGATTATGTCATTGCTATGTATTTCATCAAGAAAGACCATGGCTAATTTATTGGTGCAAAAATATCAAGGTCTTTCATAAAACGATTGCTGCTGCTGCTACTACTGCAAAAAAAAAAAATAAATAAAAATAAATAAATAAAAAGAACTCGGCTTCGTTCAGATTAGTTTATCTACGATGCCATACAAGCGGGTAAAAAACGAGTGGTTAAGAAAACAAAATTTTGTAGACGTGCGATCGTATTGTTAAAAAGATTAATAAGAAAAACAAATTAATTATCTAAAGCTTTGCTTAATCTTAAGGATAAAAATAAAATATAAGAAATAATGTGATAATATAAATTCATTACAATTGGTAGCGCCTTGTCCCTGAAATCGATGACGGAAAAATAGGTGAGAGGATCAACGACGTCCAGCATGTGATGAACCGCCATTTGCCTTTCTTCCTTGGTCACCTTGGCGGTAACGATATCCAGATACTTATACACCTGCAGATTAACATGAAGTCTAGATTATCGTAATTGAAAAGATAATGACGGAGGGTAGAAAATATTATGGATAGAAGGATATAAAGGTATATATAATATACATTACTACTATCTCATTTTCTCCTCGCTACTTACCGCGTAAATTTTATTAATTAGGTTACGCGCGTGCGCCTTCGACGTGTAAGACAGCGAATGAGTGAGTTAAGGCCGTTTCGATAAATCACCTAATTAACCGAAACATCCGATATAGTTATGAGTTTTCAAAAAGCTAAATTGGTGATGATAATAATCAACAAAATAATGAAATCGAAATCAATGGAAAGTAGATAAAACGAACTCGTTTGTTTTAATGAAAAATTCAAGATTATTATTATTATTATTATTATTATTATTATTATTATTATTATTATTATTATTATTATTATTATTTTTATTTATGGAAACTCTCTTTAGTTCATATTTGTCTGCTCTTGTTTTTTTATTTTGGTTTCTTCATTTACCGATATTCACTTGATTATATTCATAACTAGGGGTTGAAAATACTTATTATGTTGATTTGAGTTTTCGGTATGGTTAAGAGAACCAAAATATTTTTATATTATACTATCGATTTTAAAGAACCGACATTAAAATAAATATAGACGAGAACCATTATAATCATCAAGTTATAAACCTTTTTATTGACGTTTGTAACAGCTTCATTCAAAATTGGTATATAACAATTTGAAATAGTTATTTCTGAAATAACTTCAACCTCTGTTTGAATTGAATCTGTTTGAATTTCAAAATTTAATACTAAATAATAATATGTATATTTTTGGATACTATTAAAGTTTAAGAAAATATTAATGTAAAAGAACTTTGAACCGTACATCTCGAAATCTTACGAGTGACTGTGCAAAAATAAATAAACACTTGTATCAATACAGAGGGTAGAGTTTTCTGATATGAATTTGGTCCATACCATCTTACGTAAATAATTGTATCCAACTCGATCTTATGTACATAATTTGGATTTTTGTAAATAAAAAGTATTAAATATCACTATTTCAATTACAAATATTTTTATCTATCTAAGACAGTATATAGAATCATAAATCATCTGTCAAATCTTTCCACTCAATCATATTTATCTTGCGACGATAGCCTCAAGATACAAATAAAGTGAGGACCTATTTCTATCATTATTAAAATATCATCTATGTTGAACGACAGCCCTACATCCGACAGCTTTACAACAAATGAAAACCTTAGATATTAGGTTAATATGAATAAATTATACTAAAACATTAAAAAAAAAAAAAAATTAATCCTAAACAACGATTTATATTTAAGAACGAAGCTTTGTACGAAAAAATGTAATTTCAATCTTTTCACATAGACTCCCCCATTTACATATTTCACATAGATTTTCCACATAGCCCAAAATCTGTATAATATAAATAGTAATTGATTATAAAAAATGAGAAAAAAGAAACATTCATTTCCGACATTACATTTTTCCGTTTGGATCAAAACATCAGATCGGGTGTTTACGAAAGTATAGAAAAAAAGCAAAACATAAATGTATCAGAAAAGAAGAAGAAGAAGAAGAAGAAGAAGGGGAAAAAGAAAAAGGGTAAGAAGAGCTTTCCTTCTCTTCCGTCCGTTCAAGTTCGATGCGCATCACTAAGACGGATAAACGAGAATCCAAGAACGTTTCCGATTACGAGAATTTCGACTTTACACTCAACATTCCATTACGTACACACGACATAGCTCGGTGTGGAACAGGTTTTCAACGTTCCGATCCGGCCGCCAGATGTAGCCGGAACGGCCGTGTCTTCGATCTTTGAACAGGTTTCCGACGTTCTAAAGCGGTCTTCAACCTTCGTTCCGCTTCGATCTTTATACTTTTTCATAGCTTTTGTGACTAGAATAAAGTACGAAAACGATTTCGTGCGAATGAACTCAAACGCAGTTTGAACCCCCAAAAACAAAACTATTCTTATTTTCCTTACCTGAAATTTCGACCCTTTATATATAGTCACATCTATAAGTCTCTGTTACTCTTATTTTCTGCCGGTAAAGGTATACAAAGAAGAAGAAGAAGAAGAAGAAGAAGAAGAAGAAGAGGAAGAAGAGGAAGAAGAAGAAGAAGAAAGAAGAAGAAGAAGAAGTACGAGCGACCAGCTCGTTCCACGCGCGCCGAACTCGAGAGACCGCATTCCACCGGTTCGCTATTGAACCTTAAATCGATCCGCAGGATCTCTTTACAAAGTATGTTCGCCAAACGGTGAAAATAAGAGAGAGAGAGAGAGAGAGAGAGAGAGAGAGAGATTTTTACTTATATATGAGACATAAGAAACTTTTCATATACAAAATTAATAATCGATTACATAAATCTTTATTTTTAATCGTAAACGTATATATCATAGATAAATTATCGACGACAGATTATTAATCAATAATAATATTTATGTAATATTATCATTAAGCGTCTATAAAAAGAATGTAATATTATATAATGAAATAAAATTTTCATTTTATCGAATTTATCGTAATTGTATGTTATATCAATTGTCTTTTTTTTTTTTTTACTACTAATGCAAAAATCTGTAATAATTCGTGTCAATACTTATTTAATGTAACAATTATTAAAAAAAAAAAATGTTAATCTTAAATAATGCATACTTTTGTCGGATTTATTATAAGCACAATGAAAATACAAGATAGAATAATAAATTTTCGCTTAAAATAAGTAAATTCTTAACATAGGTATACAAAAAAAAAAAAAGAAGAAAAAAAATTAATCATGTCAATCTTTTTCCATCAACATAGCCAAGCTATTTCTAATAGATCATGCCAACATTAATCTAACCAAACGTATACCTCAGCAAAAGAAATCAAATATTAAATAAGAAACTTTAGAGTAGGTCCAGAACTAGCTATATACCACACGTAACGTTGCTTTTGATAAATTTATCACAAGGACGAAGATATCTTGGTGATCATCGTCGATCATAAGACGTCGAGTGAAAACGGTGAATGAATAGAAGAAGTGGCAAAGATCGAAGAGGATGGCGGTGAGACCATTGAGGGCACCTTTTCTGCGAGAGGAGCGAAAGCCTCTCTCAAAACCTGTTCCATCCACCGACTATACGTATGTATGTATGTTTGTATGTATGTATGTATATACGACTGGCTGGCTCACCTCATATATATATATGTATGTATATGTGTGCGTGTGTGTATATATATTCGCGCACTCGTTCAGCTAACGGAACGCAACGAGAAGCCGGCTCGCACTCGCTCCGAATTCTCTCTGGGTCGCTCGTACTCTCTCAACGTTGAAAGATCTCGAGCGATCTCCAACAATAGAACCGTTCCTTGACTTTTACTTTACACGTCCCCGACTTCGTTTCACTATGTAGAAACTTCTCCTCTTCTCATCGGCCTAGGCCCGGGAATTCGTTTCTAATTGTGACGTCATTGTACATCAGTATTATACATTATAGATTGGATTAGAAAATTTCGCAATAGAAATGATAGGTTTGCCAATTGGTAGTATATATATATATATATATATATATATCGTTATACTTTACACCCAATCGATCTATTATTTATCTGAACGATATTTTATTCCAATGTATCAGATCTTTTGACTTATCTAGACATGTTAAAGGAGGTATTGAATATTATCATTTTTTTTTATCGATAATTTGATAGATATACACTATTATAAATCATTATGACACGTAGCTTAACCATTTCCATAACTTTCTCATTTACATCTTCGTCTTATCTGTTGTAGGTATATCAAATATACATGCTTAAAAATATACTCAAATTGAACAAACACTTAAGAATAGTTAGTTGTATAACCTTAACACTTTATCTATCTTATCGTATTTTATTTTTAATCAAATATATTAATTAATGAATTTAATCAGAATCGTTTGTTTCATTTGTTTCTGCATAGTTATCGATCGCGATAGGACAAACTTGTGAAAACCGTGCACAAACTTTCCCTGATCGTGAATAAAAAGTCTTCAGTTCGTGAAAGTCAAAATCCAAAAGCGTTACCTACCTTAAATGGTTCGATCGCACGGTATAAATTGATTAAAAAAAAAACACACACACACACACACATACATAAACTGTATAATAAATTAGCAAGACGAATGATATTGTGTGATTTTTACAATGATAAAATAAAAATATTAAGGGGTCAGTAATTCTTGCTTTGTTAAATCTTCGTAGAATGGTTTTAGAATTTCTTGAACATCTTTTGCAAGAGCAGGAGGATGTTTGAAACTTTTAACTGTCTTGTCTCTTACAGCTTTCTTGTACTTGCACCAAGAGTCGGAACAGTACGAATACTGAGGGTTGCTATCAGTTGAGATTTTATGATAATATTTATGAAATATCACATCATCATAATTTAATAAACTATATTATATCATCTTCAGTTAGGTATATATATATATATTTCTTTCTCTGTCTGAAACCACCCCCACAATAGGAACGATAAATAGCAGCTTCTTCGGTGAACAAGAAAGCGCGCGGTATCTAACCGAGCGGAGTAAGGTAAAGCTCGCAAAAAAGTACAGTTACACTGGTTCGATCTTTATAAAATTTTAGTATGATATTTGTAAATATGTATATTTTCGAAAAATGTAAAAAAAAAAAAATCGCTTTTTTGAAAATTCTAATTATGGTAGACCCCTTAAAGGAAGAAAAAAAAAGTTGACAAAATTTTAATCGGCGTCTCCAGACCGTAAGATGAAAACTTGTATTTCCAAAAGGAAGAGAAGAGAGATTTAAAAATAACATCAACAACAAAAATCGAAAAGAAAAATCGATAGTTAAAGATAACGAGAGAAAAAGAGAGAGAAAAAGATAAGGCAATCTAATAAATAAGTCAGTGATCTAAAAAAGTATCTAACTTATCCCATTCGTGTAATAGCATTCGAGCATGGCATAAGTTTATTTAATCATCGACTTACGATATTTCA